TCTGCTCCAATCTCTGCTCCAGTTTTCAAAGGTGATCAGTACCATGTTTGGGCTGTCAAGATGAAAACATGCCTAAGGGGCCATGGTTTGTGGCAATACGTGGAGGAGGAGAAGCAAGTTCCCAACCTTGGACCAAACCCGACGCTGAACCAAATGAGAGTTCATGAAGAAGAAGCAGCCAAAGCCCCTAGAGTATTGTCTTGTATACATTCAGCCGTGATAGATCAAGTCTTCTCCAGGATCATGGCGTGTGAGACCCCTAAACAAGTCTAGGACACTCTCAAGGAAGAGTTTGGAGGGAGTAACCAGACAAGAAATATGCAAGTTCTAAACTTGAGAAGAGAATTTGAAGTACTCAAGATGCAGGAGGCAGAATCTGTCAAGGAATATGTGGACAGACTTATGGCTGTGGTGAACAAAATCAAACTGCTATGGGAAGAACTAACCAACCAGAGGGTAGTGGAGAAGGTCCTGGTCAGCTTACCTGAGAGGTTTGAAGCAAAAATTTTGTCCCCAGAAGACTCTAAAGATCTATCCCGAATCAGCTTGGCTGAGCTAGTTCATTCACTTCAAGCCCAGGAACAAAGGAGGCAGCTAAGGCAAGAAGACTCAACTGAGGCAACCATTTTTATAGGACAGAAAGGAAGAGTACAAGGAAGGGAAGACAAGAAATACAGTGGTGAAAAGAAAGAAAAAGAGAAAAGCAACAATCAAGGAGGGAGACATAGTGGACGTACCAAGATCATTTCCTCCATGTGTGCACTGGAAAAAAAGAACCATCCAGAATACAAGTGTTGGTTCAAACCTATCATACAATGCAGGTCATGCAAGCAGTATGGACACATAGAAAAGGTGTGTAAAAGCAAAGGAAACCAGCAAGAGCAGCAGGCTGCAGTGGTGGAGGTCCAGCAACCAAATCCAGAAGCAGAACAGCTCTTCATGGCTTCATGCACAAACCACAACATGTGTGATGATGTATGGCTGATTGACAGTGGCTATAAAAACCACATGACTCCAAATCTGTCAAGTTTTGTGAGCATTGATAGGTTGTTTCACTCCAAAGTCAAGATTGGCAATGGAGAATTTGTGGAAGTCAAAGGAAGAGGTAAGGTTATTGTCCCAACTCCATTAGGCACTAAATATATTTCAAATGTACTTTATGTACCCGAAATTAACCAAAGCTTGCTGAGTGTGGGTCAAATGCTAGAAAAGAACTACTCATTGCACTTTCAAAACATGTCTTGCATTGTAGTAGATAACTTAGGAAATGAGTTGATGAATGTAAGAATGCTAGGGAAAAATTTTCCAATAGAATGGAAAAACTCAGCTTTACATGCCTTGTCTGCAAAATGTATTGAAACTGAAGTTTATCACAAAAGGCTTGGACATTTTCATTATTCAGGTCTTAAGGAAATGAGGAGGAGACAGCTTGTTCAAAGCATGCTCGAAATTGAGGAGAAGGAAGGGGTGTGTCAAGTTTGCCAACTGGGGAAAATCAGTAGGCAACCATTTCCAACAAATTAATCCTGGAGAACTGCTGAAAAACTTCAGCTTATACACACAGATGTGTGTGGTCCAATGTAGGTGCCTTTTCTGAATGGCAGCAAGTATTTTCTGCTGTTTATAGATGACTTCACCAGGCTGTGCTGGGTTTACTTCCTAAAACAAAAAGGTGAGGTGGCTGCAATGTTTAAGGGGTTTAAGCAAATGGTGGAGAATGAAACTGGTTTGAGTTTGAAAACCATCTGAAGTGACAATGGTTCAAAGTATACCTCAAACCAATTTTAAGAACTTTGTGTAGGGTCCGAAATAAAGCACTAGCTGAGCACTCCTTACACACCACAATAAAATGGTGTGAAAGAAAAAATAGAATCATAATGGAAATGGCAAGATGTATATTGTTTGAGAAAAACTGCCAAAATTTTTCTGGGCTGAAGTTGTAAATACAGCAGTCTACCTTCTCAACAGGCTGCCAACTAAAGCCTTGGATAAGAAAACACCATTTGAGGCTTGGTATGGAGTAAAGCCAAGCATCAACCACCTCAAAGTATTTGGAAGCATTTGTTATGCTCACATTCTAGCCAGCAAAAGGAGTACGCTAGATGAGAAGGCTAAAACTGGAATTTTTGTTGGATATAGCAGCTTGTCCAAAGCATATAGGATTTACAATCCTAAGACCAAAAAATTCTTGGTTAACCAAGATGTAAAAGTAGATGAAGAAAGGTTGTGGAACTGGGACAGAAACGAAATTGAAGGAAGTAATATGCATGAGCAAGGAGGAGACTTAACAACTAATCAGGATGCTTCAGATTTCAGTTCTGATTTTGAAGCTGATTCTCCAGTCAGAGGAACTAAACCTTTAGCTGAAATTTATTACCGATTCAACTTGGCCTTGATGGAACCAACTTGTTATGCTGAATCAGCCAAAGTTAAAGAGTGGAGGACAACAATGAAAGAAGAACTTGACATGATTGAGAAGAATGCAACCTGGGAACTGGTAACCAGACCTACCGGAAGAAAGATCATTCAGGTGAAATGGGTTTATAAGAAGAAACTGAATCCTGATGGTTCAGTTAACAGACACAAAGCAAGGCTTGTAGTGAAGGGTTATGCACAACAGTTTGGGGTGGACTTCACTGACACTTTCGCACCAGTTGCTAGGCATGACACCATCAGAATTCTTCTTGCAATTGCAGCCCATTTCAAGTGGAAAGTCTTCCAAATGGATGTCAAATCTGCTTTCTTAAATGGGTGGCTTAATGAAGAGATCTTTGTGGAGCAACCTGAAGGGTATATGGTTGAAGGCAAGAGGAGAAGGTGTATCTCCTTAAGAAGGCTCTTTATGGATTAAAACAGGCCCCTAGGGCCTGGTGCAGCAGAATTAATGAGTTCTTGATAAGTTTGGGGTTTGAAAGAAGTCCAAATGAGCATACCATATATGTTAGAGAGGCTGATGATGAAAGGATATTTGTATCCTTGTATGTTGATGATCTTCTGGTGATAGGGACTGATTCCACTAGGTTGCTGGATTTCAAGAAGGAGCTGCATAAGGAATTTGAGATGACCGATTTAGGGGAGATGAGTTTCTTTTTGGGAATGGAAGTATGGCAGTCTCCTTATGGCATATTTATCTCCCAAGAAAGGTATGCTAATGAACTACTCAAAAAATTTGCAATGGAAAACTGCAAACCTGTCAACACACCTCTGATGCAAAATCTGAAGCTGTGTAAAAAAGATGGTGCTGCTAAGGTTGAATAAACTAAGTATAGAAGCATAGTTGGGTGCTTGTTATACTTGACTGCAACAAGGCCGGACATTATGTATGTAGCAAGCTTACTCTCTAGGTTCATGAATGAACCAAGTGAGCTGCATTTGCAAGCAGCAAAAAGAGTCCTCAGGTACATTAGAGGATGTCCAGACCTGGGAATATGGTTTAAAGAAGCTGAAAATTTTAGTTTACATGGATTCACTGACAGTGATTGGGGTGGCTCCTTAGATGATATGAAAAGTACCTCTGGATATGTGTTTTTTTGTGAATGCAAGTGCCATAAGCTAGAATTCAAAAAAGCAAGAGGTGGTAGCACAATCAACTGCTGAAGCTGAATATGTTGCTGCTGCTGATGCAGTCAACCAGTTGGTTTGGCTAAGAAAAATTTTGAAAGACTTAAGGCTGGAACAGACCCAAGGAAATGTGCTGCATTGTGACAACCAATCGGCAATTGCTATGTCCAAGAATCCAGTACTCCATGGTCACACAAAGCACATCAGAATCAAGTATCATGCAATGAGAGAGGGAGAGCAAAATGGTGAGGTAAAGCTGATTCATTGCAAGGGAGAAGAGCAAGTGGCTGACATAATGACCAAACCCTTAGGCAGATCCAAGTTTGAAGAATTAAGGTTCAGACTTGGAGTTTCCAACAAAAATATCAAGGAGGAGTGTTGAAGTAAATGATATTTTGCTGGAAATCATTTTTGCATATTTGGTTTGAAAGTTGGGCGCCAGTGTTTGAACTAAAAGGGGTTGTCTGTCAAGTGGAGTTTCTGTCCATTTTTGGAAATGTATTTGTGTAACGTTTAGGTGGAGACAGCCGGTGATTAAGGCCACAATATCTCAATGCAATTTGTGTTAGTTAAGAGTAGTTTAAATTGTATTATATTTAAAGTTTATTAACTGCAAAGTTGTTGAAACAGTGGTGTATTAGGTCCTTATATCCCTCTATTAATGAATGAAAATTAGCCTGTTTTGTGCATCAGTTTTTCTCCTGTTTTAGCTCTCTCTCATACACGAAAAATCTTCCTTCTCTTAGCTTTTGAACCCTGAAAAACCTACAGCTTCTACCCATCGATTTAGTAACATGATGTGGCTGTTTGATTAGTCTGTTTACCAGCTGCGTGATTCTTCATCTGACTTTCTCTTGAGGGCTCATAAAGAGGTTGTGTGGTCAAGATGAGAGGTTGGCTGACTTGTAGGTACTGTATTCCGAAACTGCATTTGATTGTGAACCATAGGAGTGGGAGTGGAGAGAAATTGTGTTGGAATGGAGTTAGAACACGGAGGTTGTGTATTAGCAAAATATGCTTGTGTAGGAGCCATGATCTGTGAGAATTGTTGCGACATGTTATAATCCATCCCAAACTAAGGTCTATGATTCTGATGTCCTCGAAAGTTTGTGTCAAACCGGTGATAACATTGGAGAGCCATGTGACCAGTTTTTCCACACAACTGAGAGAACAATCTTTGCTTATAGAAATTCCTGCCTCTACCAAAGGTTGGATTATAAAACTGAAAATTCTGAGCAACCTGATAGGTATTTTTATGTTCATTCTGGTTTGGAGACGGAGATTGTGTAAGGTGTTTGGATGATCTGAATTATTATTCATTGGTATTTTTGTGGTGAAGAGATGGACTGTTTGTTGGCTAGAAACGCGGCAGCTTCACGGAAGCCTATGTAAGCTATGTGTTGTTTTCCTAACCTCATCTCACGTTTGTGTAATAGGAATTAAGCCTCTTGCAGAGATACCTCACTACTTCTTATGGTTAAGGCTGCTACCATGGCATCATATTCAGAGCCAAGGCCATCAAGTATGTATAGTAGTAACTCTTCATCACTCACGGTCACACCACTAGCAATTTCCTTCATTTTCAACACATATTCAAATATGCTAGAATTATCTTTCCTATTAGTTTGCAATTGATTTCTTAAGTGCAACACTCTAGCCTTAGAATCAATAAGAAAATGCATCTCTAAGGTGTGCCATGTATCATAGGCAGTTTCACAATTTGCTGCATGCCTGAACATAGTTTCTGTTCGTTTTTTAGAAGCTGGTCATTCAAAGAAAGAAGAGGGATGAAACTTAAAAGCTGGACATGATTTTCATTAGACAAAACCTGCATATAACATACTTCAACAACTGTTTCAACAACCAGCCGAAACTTTTCCTTAATCTAAGCTAAGCCACACAAAAGGCTAACAACTTCATTACAAAAGTTGAGTCATTAAACAAAGGATTAACATTAAACTACAATATATTTTAAGTTACTAAGAAGAGAAGCACTCCCATGCAGTCCATGCAGAGTAGAAACTCTTCCAGGTTTCACATGCATTTGTCAATCTACTTCCAGCACAGCATCAACCTTCAACAGTTTCTGATATAGAGGAGATTAACCAGCTGAACAAGAATTGATCAATTTTCTTCCACATTACATGTTCAGAATCGATTAATCTTTTAGATTCATCGGTTGAGGACAGAATAGGGGCAGAAGGACAAGGTTTTTCACTTGTAACGAAACTTTCCAATTCGTAAGCTTTCAAGACTGGAAACACTTGAGACTTCCAGTAGGCATAATTCCTTTCACCTAGTTTTACAGTAATGGTAGGTAGTGTGTTGTTCAGAGTTGAAGATGAAAATGAATTTGTCATTTTCTCAGCTGAGGCAAAGCCTGAAGGAGAAGGTGTTTTTGGATCTGCCATTGACGTCTGTCAATAGCTCTATACCATGAAAAGGTTCACACAGTAGAGAGAGAAACCAAGAGAAAATGAAAACAAGGAATTCTAATTTTTATTCTTACTTCAGTACCAAAATTCTTTCGAAATTTATACAAATATTCATGTTCATCTCATCCGTTGATTATGAATTTAACAAACACAACTATATCAAATCTTGTCCATTCGATCTGCAACTTGCGTTTCTCTGCAACTTGTAGTGCAACCTGCATGCATTAGAGAGGGCGAAAAGCATGTGTAAACATTGGCGCAAAATTCTGTTTTTCTTGAGTTGTTCCGCTTTGAACCAGAACGACATGAAGTCTTACCTGTAATTTACAACTCTGTTCTTGCTCTAACAGCCAATGAAAACGAAGGTTAATACTAACACAATGGCGAGATTTCATACATTAAAAACAATTTCTCTTAATTGTATTGGTTATTTTTTGGTATTTTATTTATCATCATATGGGTTATTTAGTAAGTAAACAAGATGATAGTCAAATTACAACACCTCATCGTTTTGGTTTTGCCATATACAAAAGACTCCATGACGATAACATATTTTTCACAAGGACTAATTTTCATGGCCACCTCAAGCCTAAACGTGGCTCTGTCGATGTGGATCTATTAGCAGTACCTCACTGATGGACTAAAGAAGTCCCACTTTTTAATAAATTTTATAATGACAGATTTATCCTTATATTAAATTATTAAAATTAACTTTAGTTTCCTAATCTTTACAAGTAGTTTTGATACTTACAATTATCTCATAAGCCCTAATTTTTCTTCATCCTATTCAAATTATTCTTAAGACGATAAAATAGTTTAATGGCAGAACAAGATTCGCAATGGGATATAGTAGGTTACAAGCAATACAAAATTGAAAGTTTAAATTGCTTCACATTGTTATTGTTTTTATCAAAGTATTAGTACCTATTTTAATCTATATATTTTTTGTGTTGTTTAACTGTATTATGTTCTTGAGATTTATTTTAAGAATAACGATGATGAGGTGTATATATATTAACTCTTTTAAAATACGATAAAAAGTAATGAAAGGCATTAATGGAATTTATGGGTTGCTATAAGAAAAAAAAATTAATTTTAAAACTTTGAAATTAGATGTCTTAAGAAATAAGCTTCTTTAGTCTATTATTGGGGTGTCAATAGCCCCACTCTTGTTTTAATTCACTTTGAACTTTTTGCTTAAAAGCCATTATGTTTCCAAGCCCACAGAGGGTGGATAGTCCAATAACAAGAATATAGGAAATGTTTTTTGGTTATTATAAAAATGAAAGATAGCAAAGGAAAAAAAAAAGATCTGTAAATGCAATCTTTAGTTATTGATTTATAATCTTTACTTTGAATTGATTGTTAATTTGAAAATTTGAATGCTTGTATTTCCAAACCAAAATAATAACCATTTTAAGGTGAATATCTAATGTGTTAGAGTTGGTTAACTCACTTTGGTGTTAGATTACCATTTTAAGTGCAACAAAATATTTTTACCAAGTAGATTAGGAGATTTCACATTTCAACATTTTATCCACAAGACAATATTCAAAGTTGATCTACGATACAGTAAAAAGAACTCCCTGTTCAACTTTACACTTAGCACCGCACTCTGAATCCTTAACGAGTTGAAACTCCTTGGACCTTCTTCACACTAGGAACACACCGAGAATAGCTTGTGAACCACCAAGCTTCAAGCACCGACCCCAAGCACCAGCATCAACAAATGAACCATGTTCCAATAGCCATCGAGACAATGAATTATATGGTGAGGTTTGGAACAAAATGAAATTAACCTATGAACCTTTGAAGAGAAAAATATACTCTATGAAATTTTAGAGTACAAAGAAGAATAAAAGATCAGATGGTTAGATTCAAACACGCAAGAAGAGATATTATATAATGTAGGGTTTCTTGCTCAACACATTTGCACCACGTCAGCCAACAAAGAGCTGACCCATGTTTTTCCAAAAAAGGAAACTATTCCTTCTTTGATTGGACCACAAAACAAATCAGGAAAAGCATCTTTATTTCCTATGACCACTTAAGGATAATATGACACATGTAAAAGGTCCTAAAAAGGTAGCAACAAAGATAAACAAATATCTTTTCTACTTTATCAGATATGCAACTCGTGTTGGATTGCAAATATTTGAAGCGAGTGTGCAAACACAAAACTATTGTGCACAGACACTCGATACGAAACAAGTCAAGACATAAGTCTGGCAACCAGTGTGCACACAAAACTGTTGTGCACACACAAGACATAAGAAACAAGCCAAATCATAAGATTGGCAACCAGTGTGCACACATAACTATTGTGTACACTCACAAGTCATAAGTTTGACAAACATGAATATTCTACATTATCCCCTTTGTCAAACTTATGAACAAAGAACATAAACTGAAAAGAGATCAAGAGCAAACCTGTCTCAATCAAAACAATCAAACCTGCAAAATGGCAAGAAACAAACATACAAAGAAAATGAACCAAAAGCAACACAAACACAAGCACAAGGCAATATAAAAAAAAAAAATCTAAAATCAAATAAAAAACATCATAAAAGAAATAACTCCCTCATGGAGAGATAACAGTAGATCAGTTCAACAATAAACAAAAACAATTAAAAGTTTATCAAAGAAATAACTACAAAGTCTAAAGTCTAAAAATCACTCCCCCACACTCCATACTTACTCCCCCTCTTTGTTCATAAGTTTTGATGATTTTTGTGAGGAACAAATGAGCGATGAGCTTTCCTTTTGACTATTTTCTTGGGAGGAGTAGTGATGATGACATGTGTGTCCTCCATTTGAACATCAAAGGCAATAGTAGATGTGGGCTCAATAGCATCATGAAAGGATTCCTCTTGGACAAAAGGGGTGTTCTCTTTGACAGAAGGACGAACAACTTCTTCGGTGTGCACATGAGAGGCATCTTATTCTTTTGAGTGTTGTTTAGTTTCATGTGTAGTTGTATCTTCGGGTTGATCATTGCCTTCATGAGCAGCTTCTTCTTCTTGAACGACAACAACAAGAATAGCAGCAGATACATTAGGGACAACAATAAGAACTTTAGGAACTACAGCATAATCAATCTGAACAACAGAGACAAAAATTTTCTTCACTTTCTTCATTTCATTCTCTAGTTTGTCCAGCCTATCATTGAAGGAGAAGTGCAATTCCTTCACATATTGAAGAACATTCTCCATAGACATCTCCAAGTCCTACATTGCAACAAATAACTTAGACTGCCAAGTGTTAGTGCGTACATGTTTAACAGTAGAAGAAGATGGGATCTTCCCAGATGGCGGCTTAAAAAAATACTTGGTGACAGTCTTTAGTTTTAGCATAGGCTCCACTTCATAGAATTTTGGTTTGTAAGTAGTAATAATCCTATGAATAAAGGAAGGGAAAGGCAAAATCTGAAGGGCATGTGTGGACTGTGTAGCCACCCTAATGCTAGTGAAAATGAGTGAAGCCAAATTGATTTTCTCTCTTAGCTATCCTGTAAAGAAGTTGAGCTCTTTTAAGCCTAACCATGGAGACCAATTGGTTAGGGAAATTTTGAACAACAGGCGATAAAAGGGTGTGAGAGCACTAGGTTGGAGAGAACACTTCTCAACCATATTGCAATTAAGCCACCAGTCACAACCTTAACAATTTTGTCTAAGTCCAGACTAGCCAACCTAAAGGGTTTGTTGACTTTTTTCAAAACCTAAGGCATCCCTAACAACCTGTTCATTAAAGAGAACCTAAAGACCCCTGACATACACTCTATCATTGTGTTCATCAGAGCTAGGGTTAGCATCATCAAAGCCAAAATTGGCATAAAACTCTTACACAAGAGTTTGAATTGGTGCAGTCAAACGTGAGACCATATTAACCCATTTGACACTTCTTCATCATAGCATGATTTTTTTTTTTTTTTTTTAAATCCTCTAACCTGACATTGGCCTCACTCACAATTGTCTTCTTGACAATGTGGTTTCTAAACCTACTCTCGGTTGCAGGCAACATAAAAAGTGGGATTTTACTAGTTGGAGCTTCTTTCATGATTGTCTTCCCTTTATTTTTCGCCATCTTTGCCGATGCCAAAGGCTTTGATGGAATAGCCTTCACAAGACAACCTTGTGGGATTTGAGGGAAGCAATAGGACTGTTGTCTGATGCACTGTCGGATGCCAAAGATGAGGATTTTTCCGATGAAGCAGGGTCTAATTCAGTTCGTGTGTGCACAAAGTTCTGTGGTCACTGGAAACAGGGGATGGATCAGGGGTGGTAGAGTGGCTAGACTCTTCCTCTTGATATTTCTCTTGGGTTTCAGATTCAGACTCCGATGAGGATGGTTCTTTCGCCAGAGCTTTTCTGTGCCGATTGGATTTCTTCAAGGCATGGAAACCCTTTTTGAGAGACTCTTCCTTTGCTTTTTTTTTTTTTAGGATCTTCCATGGTTTTCTTCCTTGAATCCATGAGATAAGCAAAAAAAATTCAAAGAAGGTTACAGAGAAAAATCGTGAGAGATGAAAAACAAGAGGCGACGTTATAGGGTTTAGGAAAAAACTTACGCAAAGGAGATTTAGGCAAACAAATATAGCAGATAATCATTCTAAAGTCCTAAAAGAGTGTTTTACCAAAAATAGAATTCCATCCTAAGTGAGTGAGCATAGTGCAATCGTGTGAGCACACAACATCCCAAAAGACACTAAAATTTTTCAAAAGGCCTAACTTTATTGAACAAATATAAAAAAAATCAAAAATAATGAAATGCTTCACATGAATTTGTGAAGGTCAAGAGAGTCAATCTATGCAAAACATCCTAATAGATCAATTTTTCAATCTTGAAAGGCACAAGAACTTATAAGGAAGTTGTCAACATAATGCAATTAGAACAACACTTCCTTAATCACACACAAGAGAGATAAAGTCACAAAAGCTTGTCTAAGTGTGTGATAGTGTCCTCAAAGGGGATTAAAT